ATTTGTAGATCTTTATGAGACGAACGAGACAGTTTTGGTTTGGTCTTTCTAAGTGGTTCCTACCCGTCGCACCGGGCATTTTAGTGTGTCTAGGTGGCACAACAAATCGTCAGGAGGTTTTGGAGCACATCACCTGAAACACGCCATAACATCCAAACCATTCGAGGATTGAAAAAGTTACGCACAATAATTGATAAGGACACTTTGAACAATAATGTGTGCGAGTTTGAAGCCGATACGATAAACGGTGTAGGAGGAGATGTTTTTTAAAGGAATTTCTTTTTTTGAGGAAAACTCTTACTTTGAAAGGAAATAGCTCACTTCCTGTTGGGTTTAGGCCAGAGGTGCGAGTACGTGATTTGTAGGTCTTGATGAGACGAACACGGCTGTTTTGGTTTGAGCTTCCTACGACGTTCCTACTGGCTGCAGCGAACATTTTAGTGGTCTGAACTGTTAGGTGGCGCTAGAGAGACAATTTTGGCACTTTTCAGATTAATTTTTTCATTTTATAAAATTTTTCGCCAGTCCTGACATGCGTGCCAATTTTGGTGAGTTTTGGAGCATGTTCAGGGGGTCAAATTCCAGTTTGAAGTCGCGGCGGATGAAAGAAACAAACAATAATAATAATAATTAAAGCTGCAAGCAGCGTTTGGCGGGATCTTGCACTCGCGCCCGTTTTGTCCCCCAGCTTATGTCGTCACTGTGAATTATTTAGAAATATCAAACATGTTGCCACAAACATCAGAAAATCCTTACAGAGCTGAACGTTTTGATGTTTGAATGCTTTCTGTAGCTGTAGGTATGGATAAGTGATGTCACGATATGCAAATTAGATGAGTGAATTTATTCCCATCAGATTCCTCGTCCTTTATTTTGAGGAAGAGACAACAAAAACAACACAAAACAAAATAAATTTACTGTGTAAATATGTTCAAAATGTTGTTTTACTGAGATGTATGAAATCCAATATGGCCGCCGCCTAGTGACGTTACAATATGCAAATTAGATGAGTTAATTTACTCCCATGACAAACTTTGGGTCATGATGAATATTTTTCTCATTTACAGTATGCCTTTATCTCTCACCACTTTCAAGCCACAGCCTTTTGAAATGTTGAAATGAAAATGGAATATTTTCCTCAATAAACTCTGGCACCTAAAGGGTTAAAATGGAGATTGTGCCCCTGTCATGTCTGCATGTAAGATTTAGACACACACACACATCATGTTTCTGTGAGTTTGTGTGTGACAGCGGTTGCCATGGTGATGAAGTAGGTGCACCTGGCAGAAGAGCAGAGAGAGAGAGAGACAGAACACAGAGAGACCTGTTTTAGTGGAGATTTAACTCCTCGAAGAAGTTCTTCCCATTCCCAAACCGCTGGTCCAATCATCAAAATAATGTGATCATGAGAGAGATAAAGTTATACAGAAGATCTGTTTAGCAGCAGTTGAACTGGTATGTGTGCGTCTTTAAAGCCGACACAATAAACGGTGTAGGAGGAGATGTGTTTTTTTTTAAGAGCACGTTTGAGGGGAAATCTTACTTTGAAAGGGCAAATAGCTCACTTCCTGTTGGATTTAGGTCATGGGTGTTAGCGTGTTATTTGTAGGTCGAACACTCCAGTTTTGGTTTGATCTTGATACGACATTCCTACGGGCTGCAGTGGCCAGTTTAGTGCACCTATGTGGCGCTAGAGAGCCCATTTTGGCACTGTAGGGGTTAATAATGTGTGTGTTCTGTTTCAAATGAAGTTTCTGCTGCTGTAATCTGTCCTTTAAAGATTGTGAGACACACAGACCAGAGAACCCTGTGGCTGTGTCTGTGTGTGCAGCCGTTGTCATGGCGATTAATGACTTGCCCGCACCTGTGGCAGACACAGACACGTCAGGAAAGCAGATCACCAAAGGCTGTTTATAAAGGGATTTAACTCCTCGAACAAATGCTTCGCATACCCAAACCGTTGGTCCAAGCAAGAAAATAAAGTGATTTTGAGAGACAGCCACGTCTCGTGAACGCACGTGTCGCGTTTTATATTTCTCGAGTCAAAAATGTGGTCAGGGGAGCGAGTTTAAAATGTGTTGCACCCCAGCTGTTTCCAGAAATTTCTCCTCTGAGTTTACATGGGAGTGAATGAGAAAAAAATCAGCGCTCCCTTCGCTTTGGAGCCACTCAGCAAAAATGTGTATGTGTGAGAGATTCCATGTCAACATATCTGTGAGCAGGACAAATTTTCCAAATTTGTGTTTACACATGCTACGCATTCACGCAGTGCCTGCATCGTGAGACTTGAATGAGGCTGTTATTACATATCCTGATAATCCACCGCGATAATGCAATTAATTTAAACATAAACGGTCATTGTTACCGTGTAAAAATTAACCAAGATTTACCGTAATATCGGTAATCGTTACATCCCTAGTCATCATACAAAATCTTGAAAATAATAAACACAATCAAAGAGATTTTTGTTGCATCATGACTAATCAAATGTACCCAAAAGTTAATCATTCTCATGTTTACCTTTAAATCTAGACTATTTCGACCAAACTCTCCATAAATAATACAATTTGCTGTGTGTTTATTAACATTAAGTAAACGTTTCAAAAAAGATCTGTGAAGCATTTCAATTTGGTCTCTGACCTCATCCAGCAGTTAGTAGCCTCCTCAGTCACAGACAGCACTCCAGAAGTCTATCGCCTGCTTTTCAAATACCCTCTGAACCAGCATCAGTAATCATTGCAGGGAACACGTGGCTAACGTAAGACATGCAGGCCAGGGAAACGAAACAAACAACCCCATGAATCTCTTTATTAATAGCCTATAAAATGACGTGTTTTCTCCTGTGGGATGGGAGAAGACACAAAATCATCGATCTCTATTATTGAGCGGGCATAAATTCTCAGAGTTTTGCGGGTGTGGGCAGGAGTGGACATACACATTGCGGGAGCGGACGGGAGTGTAATACACACGTTGCGGTTGGGGGCGGTAATGGTCAGAAATTCAGCAGGAGCGGGCAGGAGCGGGTTGAAGAAAACAGTCCCGCGCAGGGCTCTACCGCAGAGTTGTCTCTTCCTAATTAGCTCAGTGAGATAGAGCATAGTCTCTTATGCTTAGAATGCCACTTTTTTTTCATCTTCCTACACTCTGCTTGTTGCTCAGAATTGCCTAATTTTGCCTGAAATTTTCCGGCCCTGACCATTGCTGCGCAGCAGCTATAATTCTGATTGCTCCTCATTTGCATTGTCCAGTCTCACTCTGCCAATCACACACTTGATCACCATCACTTACTTCATGAGGGCTACCTGGATTCACAACAGGTGTCCGGAGAATTGAATCAACTAAACTTCCTTCAGAGGAGCTTTTGTGTTTCCTACTCAGGTGCGAAGTGAATGCAGATTTCACAGAAAACGTCTTGTTGCATTGTCTGAATGGACAACTAAGTGCTAACCCTAACCCTCCAGAAATGCTAGCTAGTTAATTAGCTAGCCGCTCTTCTTTCCGATGTATGGTCTGGCACGATGGTCTACCAAATATTGAGACAGCAAAGTTAGGTGACTCCTCAGAAAAAGTAACGTTAGGTAGTTAACATCCATGTAACGTTAGTTAGCTAATCTTCTTTCTGTCGGACAATATGGGGTTAGGGCGCGCAGGTTATAGTTAGAACTTCCCGTGATGCAGTACAAACCTGTACAGTAAAAGCATAGACTGTTGTCTGAGTCGACCATTAACACTGTCATATTTCCCAAAATGCATTGTTGTTATACAGTAATTGGCTGCATTACCAAGACACAGAACATCACAGTTAGAAATTGGCTGTAAACCTACAGCAATCTTTTACAGTGTATGTACCACCACTATTAGTCATATATTTGCTCACTGAACACAAATGCTCTTATTAAGCACTTACAGTCAGATACATTCACACTAAACATATTTTATGTGTCAAAAAATCATTCCAAATATTTGTATACTATAAGTCACACAATAATGGATTGAGGAACATCACAAAACCTACACACACACTTAATGGAGTGAATCAGCACACACACTCAGCTTAAAGTGTGTTCCTGTGTGGAAAGTAAACACCATAATAACCATGGGAATGTGTGTATCCCGGAACATGTGTTGTTTCAAAACAGCTCCATTTGGCTGCAGAACTCAGGTCACCTAGGACCCTTCTGGAGATTGCTGGTTTATTTACCATTCCGTGGAACTTTTCCATATTGATCTAACAGAGCCAGCTTTTTCCAGTTTGCATCTAATGCAGAGCTGCCCACCGGCAGCCGGGCTCTTATGCAACCCTGTGCTGATCACCTCACCATATATCCGCTGTTACCACAACTCAGAAGCAGGGAATGGAAAGAGAGTTGAAACATGGAAACCATTCAATAGGCCCAGTGTGTATGAGCAGACCATAGGGGCCCAGTGAATTCCCCACAGAGCATTCCATCATCAGACCCTGAGAGAAAGTCACAGTTAACTTGTTTTCTTTTTTTGGAAAGGAAGAGGAGTGCCTCTACATGTGACATCACAAGAAACTTGAAACCGTCATTTTCAACAGCCCTCCCTCATCACTGCCTGCTCCCACATTTGCTCCCCTCTCCCCAACCTCTCCCTGAGACAGTCTGTGCTTCTCTGTGGGACTCCAAAAACGGGCCAGTGTTACTCTCCTCTCAGCCCAAACTACACCTCTGATCCCAGGACTTCAGCACACAGATCCCCCTGCTCTGCTTCAGAGAGTCAGCTGGACCTACTGCTGCCAGAGGTAAGTCACTCCATTCTTCTGGTTGTATGGGAGCTACTCTGCTGCCACGTGGTTTGGCTACTTGAGGAGGTTTGCATAGGAGGAGCGAAGACCATTGGCAGAGGAGAAGAGCTTTGATACAGGCACCAGCTAGGGCTCAGGGGCTTTGATTTTGAAAGGGTTTATCAGACTCCTTAGACTTGTATGCACAGGTAATGCTTCTGTGCTCTAGATTTGGAACAATTCCTGACAGTAAGTCCTCATTAACCCTACTCAAATATACTAAACTTTTAAATGAGCTTGAGAATGATTCTTATAACATATAATAGCATTTTAATCAACTTTTTAATCTTTTAACAGTTTAGGTTTTGCTTATTTATGTCTGACATTTTTCTTTCTAAAAATTTACTTTTCCAGTGGTAAATGGCAAGTATTGATGAATTGACACTTTTCCCGATATTTGTGGAGTAAGAAATAAGTGAAGAAAAAAGATTATGTGCTTCAGTGCACTCATGTATGACACGTATGTGTATGTAAGCTACCTGTAAATGCAATTTTTGCTGTTGTTGAGGTAAACACGAGCCCCAGCTGATACTTGATATCATACTGTAGAACTCTGACAGCGATTAATGAGCTGCACATATTAAAAAAAAAAACAAAAAAAACAAAAAAGACTAAAAGACATGGAAAAGTTGACAGTATAAGCTGCAAATCTACAAATACCATAATTGGAAAAGAGGGCAGGGCCTCATTCAGGCACACATTGTACACATTCTGTTCCTTCTTATCTCACTGTGTGGCAGACTCTATATGCTGTCACAGTCAGGTAGTCTGTATGCTGTGTAGAATGTATTTTCTTTCTGTAAACTTCTATAAAGTCTTTGACCAATGTCAAAAAAAGCATTGTCTTTCAGATAGTGTGTTTTCTCAATTCCAGAAATTTGTGGAAACAGAGAGAATCATACAGTTGTAGGAATTTCCTAAAAGCAATAATAGTTCAGTACTTAAAAAAGGACAATTATTTACCATCTCTCCAAGAGTAAGATGTTCAGATGGATATTAAAAATAAACACAAAGTGTTGTTTTAACATTTCTGGTTGTGTACATCTTGAAAAAATGTGATAAAGCATGTTTATCAGTGAGCTTTAGAGGTGTTGATAGATGTATCTTTGAACCTTTGAACGTTATGCTAAGATAGACTGACTTTGGCGCTGTACTTTTCACACAGACATGAGGCTAAGAACCATAGCATATGACTCTCAAAAAGAAAGCAAGGGTTCTTCAAAAATGTCAGACCTATGTAGTTTATTCAGTTCAGTGCAATCATTTCAGTTTTTATGTCTTTAATGTGTTACACCAGTTAGTTTCTATGCTGGCTACCCACATATGGACGTTATACTGTGAGGTGTGAAGTTCAAATCATTTTCACACAGTGATTTGCTTGTTCTTTGTTGCATAAATAATGTTTGAACATTTAATTCTAACTGAAAGCATATGCTACAGCATGGAGTCTGAAATAGAAGTTTTTGTATACAGTTGTAAATGCATATTTGGCCAAAAAGCATTTGCAAGAAACTCTTCAACCTGATTGGTGCACAGGATGGGTGGGTGCACCAGTAAGTCAAACGGTATCAGATGAGCCCGCAGCCTCACGAAACTTTTTTATATACTTGCCTGTAGGCTACTACTTTTTTTTTTTTTTTTACTTTTCACAGCTGGCTTTAAAAATGGTATATTGTCCAACATGGTTTAACAGATGTATAAAAAAGATGTTCAAACAAACATTTGTTCATGTGTCCACATATTTGCTAAGCAACCAAAATCTAACATTTATCCAAGAGCAGATGTTATGGTGTGATCACAGTTGGACTTTAGACTTCTAGATGGGCTAAATAGTGTCTTTAACATGCTGAAACACCGTCAGATCATTCACCCTTCTACCAAGTACCAAAGTAAGCTGTGTGACCAATAACCTTTGAAAAGACAGACAGAACATTATCCTACTCTGGACCACCTACTTTACCCAACTGAAGAATGAGGTGTCTGATTCAACAGCTGACTGACAGTGTGATACGGATGTTATATTTTAATAAATGAATATGTAAAATATGAATATACATAATTATAGTGTATGTATGTATGTATATATATATATATATATATATATATATATAATTTAAAAAAA